AAATCCCTAAAACTTTCAAATTACTTAAAATATTTATTTTTTTAGATCGATTTGATTGAAAAAAAAAACAATTAAAAACTTTCGATTAAAAAGGGTATGTCAATTTAATTTTCGAAGTATTTTATGTGCATCATGCTTTTGTCCCGGCTTTCGCTCTATCTGCCTGACTAAGAAAACTTTAAATATTTGGTTTTAACTTTTGAACCGTAGTAGGTGATTCTTTAGATTTGACACGCATAATCAACAATTAATGCCCTCTATTGTATTGAAACTCAGATTTCATGGGAGAAAAAATGTAATTATTTTACAAATTATAGTTGTCGACGTTGTCAACTCGGGGAAAAAAAACAGAATTAAGAACAAATATAAAGCTGGTTAAAGCTGGTTGCTATTAACTTTTTGTAATTTTTATTTCATTAATATTAAAAACATTAATGATGTGAGAGTAGAGTCAATATTTCCTCAAAGATCTAGGCAACAAATGTGTTCTCTTTTCATGAAAAAGTAAATAATTCAATATTACATAAATCAAATTATTCTACCTTAAAATCCTATATGAGATGTTTCTGTTTTGTCTGTCTTGTTCAAGGCGTTCCTGGTTGTTGTTGATATGATCCTAGTAAATGTCAACAGGGCAATGTCTAATTATAAATATAGAATATATAATAAACCTTCAAGTACACTATATTTGTCCAAATTCACCTATTATACAGACTATATACCGTGTGTATTATACGTTGACCTTTTATCGTCATGATAGGGGTAGAGAAATCTTCTCTTTTACAACAAGGTTTGTCCACCTGAATCTTTTCAAACAAAATATAAAGACTCATATTTAAAAGAACTCTTCAATAGTAGATATAAAATAGTTCTGAAAGCATGATTTTCTATCAGTGTTTTTTTTTTTTATTTTAAATTCACTAGTAACGAAACTTTGTTTTACGAGCTTACAATTAAAACTATAATTTTTACTTTTTTCTTATTATGAATTATGATTTTGAAACACGCATTATTTGTCAATTTGAATTTTGTTGAGTACTGAGTTAACTTTTTTTCTAATTTACGACTTTCTCTTCAAGAAAAAACATGGTGCAAACCAAAGAAAGTTAGTAAAGTAAGCTATAATTTATCATAAAAAATAAATTCCAGTTTAACAAGCAAATCGTCAGTAAAGTTATCAAGTCCGAATCAAAGTACTGTGCATAGAGTAAATAAAAGCATCTAAGCATATATGCTGATATACAGTTGTTATAATGAACTTACATACACTCTGTTGTAATGTATAATATGAACTTTTATAACTAGGAAGCAATGAATAGAAAATAAATAAAATGTTATAATTTTGCAAATTATAATATACACTTAATGTACAGATATGATTTAAACCTTGTGTTTTTTTCTCTATAAAACAATTTAAAACAGGATTGTTCAATCCTTCGTTTACAGATTGGTATGCGTTTTCTGTCTTATTGAAAATTGCTCAGAACAACTATTTTCACTTTAAATCAAATTATTTATCTGCAGTTCAAATGAAATAAACAGTGCTACAGAGAGAGAGAGAGAGAGAGAGAGAGAGAGAGAGAGAGAGAGAGAGAGAGAGAGAGAGATGACATCATGATATAAACAAGATGGAAATTAGTTCTTTTTGCTGTTATAAATTATTAATTATTATCACGGAGAAATGAATCACGTATTCTCAAAGTACAGTTTTAACAGTGTCCTAATTTTAGTCAGATTCAATTCCAAGTAGTTATTCCTCGACAGTTAAAATAGTTTTTATCCCCGAACAATGGTTGTGATTTGTTATAATTATAGCATTATTTCTTTCGTAAAGAGAATAATTAAAACAGAAAAATGATACATTTTCTAGCGAAAAATTATTTTCTTATATTCTACTGATTAAAAAACCGAGATCTCATAACATTTAAACAATTGATTTACTGAGCCATGCATATATCCTTCGTAGTGGGAAATTCGAAGAAAGCATGTACTTAAGTTAAAATAAAAAGCTCAATATTTCGCGGAAAAAAAATCCATCAATAACTTAAAGGTTACTGACGAAAATTATATTTGTAACCATAATTTACTAAATATATAATATTTAAACTTACTGATATTTCTGACAATATATTCATTTTATTTTATTTCATGAGAATATTTTGTGTGATTTTATTTCCTTTTTAATGAAATAATGCTTTAATAGGTTTGAAATGTATAATTTGCAGCAGAAAACATTTAAAGTGAGTTCTCCACAAACGTACGTGTGAAACAACTTGCTTTTCTAACATATTTTAAAATATCACCCAGACGTAGTCTCTGTTTTCTGTCTCTGTCTATTCAGTGATAAGTTGCTCGTTAGCTCTAGCATCACATTAATTCGTGTAACTCTATTAAATCCCTTTTATATCCTGACTATATCTTTTATATCGTCATCTTCCTTCTATAAAATAATTGTCTGGTATATCAAAATATTCTCATTCCTTCGACCCAACTTAAATCGGTTTTAATTCAAATTTGCTACAGCGATAAATGCCAAGAATTTCATCTGTATAACATCAATGTAAGGAAATAGTTCAACGTCTGTGAGGTTTGGTTGAAAAAGTAAAATACTTCTTTAAAAAATCATTCGTGTTCCATACAAAAGTACTAACGCTGAAATTGATATTAAAATGATGCTGGAGTTCCTCATTGACTATATCTATATTGGTTTTGGAGACCAGAATTTCCAAAAATATTTGGGAATTTCGATGGAAACTTACTGTACTCCATTATTAGCTGACCTTTTTTTATGAAGCAGAATTTATTCAAAAACATCTACACGAAAAGAAAAAAAAAATTGTGGTGGCCTTCAATTCCATATTTCGATATTTCTATAGCGACGATGGGTTTTTTTTTTCAATTAAAAATATTTATTTTTATTCATACGTCGACGCTATAATCTCCCACATTTATTTCATCTTGGATACTTTACTGACTATTAACATTAATTACCAACCAACAACTAACCCATAGGACGAACAGAATGGCTTCATCTTTTCCATCGTCAACTTTCCTTATTTATGAACTATTTATATAATATCCCATTATCATCTGCATATGGTGTTTATGTCTCCCATCTGATTCGGCACGCAATGATATTTTCTGAGTAGAATCAATTAGTAAGCGAGCCGGGCTACTGACAAATAAATTGATGTTACATGACTTTTAACAATCTTGTTTAAAGCCATTATTAAGGACTTATAAGCAAACATGAAGCCAAGCTGAAAAGAAAGTGTTTCATCTTGTGATCAGGAGCGAATCTTGTATCTCGAATGGATCTTCTGGGCTTTCGTAGATCTTTACCTTTTCATTCACACGACATGTTTCTTGCGGAACAGATAGTAGAGAAATATTTGTTTGTTTAATAATTCGCTTATTTTGATAATTTGTTTTGCGCTCACCTGCTACTTTGCAGTATTTAGCAAAAGGAAATTTATTGAATGAAAGTTTTTTTCTTCTTTCCTGGACTCTTCATTCTTAAAATAATGCTCTATGTGAAGCAAGGCATTCTTAATAGCATTGAAGAAATCTAAATACCCGGTCCTGTCTCCATGCATTCGGAAGAAATGACATCCCTATTTATGGGACATCATGTTTTATATATGAAAAAAGACCACAATTAAACTTTCCATTTTTCAGAATGCAAGAATGTAAGAAAACAGCCATACGGCTATTGATCAATTCTTTGTCTCATAGAAGAAAAGTTTTCAGCTTATAAAAGTAAATAAAGAGATAAAATGTAAATATGACTATCTCCTTCATAGTCCTATTTTCTAAAACATTTTCTTTCTTTTTTTTTTAAAAAAAAAATGTATGTCTATTTAAAACTCTCTCCCTCTCCCATTTACTAGAAACCTCTCACCCTTGTTTTGGTTCATCTCAGTTATAATATCAGTGGGTGTTTCTGATGGAGAGTGTATTTATGGTATCATTAAATTTTATACTTACGTTTATTGATATCAGCTCGTTTGATCTGAATTCGTTCGAATCTAATTTTATTTTATGGAAAATAAATTGAAGAGAAAACAAAACATGGCTTTGATAAATGAGAACTGATAAACTATAAAGTATATAAAAAAAGAGGATGGGAATATGTCGCTGCTATAAATAGAATAATATCTAATACTATATATACTACTAATACTATTCATTGTACATGTACATTGAATTATTGAAATGTGTTGCACTGTTATTAATCACAAAAAGTGTGTATTCAAATTTATAAAGTACCACGTTATGTTAATTTTATGTGCCTTCTTATAGTTTATACAACAAAGAACAATGCAAAAAAAAAACCTTTATATTTATACTAAGTGCAATTACATAACGCCACCTTACTATTACTTAAAATATGCAAATGTTATCTTTTTAGATTTACTGTTTATGTTTTATTTATCTAAAAATCCTATATTTATATACATGTAGTTGCATAAACGCATTTCAATTCCTGTCAAGAAATTGAAATCATGTGACCTTAAATTGTCCATAGTTTTTTCTCCAGCTAGCACGATATTTAAAGCAAAATCTAAATTCTACGTAAATGTGCTTAGTGAAAAAAAATACTGTGTTTTTGCAAGATCAACTTTTTTTTTTAAAATTTACATGCATGTACGTGTACAATATTTGATCTACATTCATCATTATTTCATGTCTGTAATACTCAAGAAATCTGGATTAAGAAAAACAAGAACAAGTGCAAAAACATAATTATTGATAATCTATATTTATATAAACATATTTCTTAGAAAGAAAAAAATTAAATGAAAAAAAGTTGATATACACGATAATTCCAGTTAAAGTGATCGTGTACATGATAAGATTTTCTGAGAATCCATGCTGTGTTCCTAGAATCTCTGGGTTTACAACAGCGACATCTTCAGGTGACATATTGCCATTGGCTGTCGTCATCTCACCAATTAGCAACCTATAATCTAATACCGGTGTGTATTAAGAGAAAGAGCGAGCTCAGAGGTTCAATAGAGAAGCAGTGAGCTTCGGCTAGCCAGCTGTTCAACCGTAACCCCTCATGAATTTTGGATAGCCCTCTTGCGTAATTGCTGATATAATAAAGGGTTTCATCTTAAGAGCAATAGAGGGCTAACGGAGCCGATTCAGCTGGGTGTCGATAGCTAAGGAACAGACGATCACCTCGTTGGCATGTGCAACACGATGTCTTACCAGCAAACAGTATTCCTTGTTGCCTGCTTCGGAATCTTTACCATCTTAACGTGTTGTCAATGTTCCGATCTCACAGATAGGAATGATTATTTACAAAAGGTAATTCTTTACAAAGCAAACGATTTTCATTTCTGTTATATATTCTAAGTTTTTTTTTAAATAAAATGTGCATCGGTGATGTCTAAAGCCAAAAAATTATCAAGTCTAACAAAAAAGTTTATGGACAGGAGGAAATTTAGGTAATTTTGTTAAATGGCAATAAATGATTTTATATCAATCAAATTACTATTTAAAATGTTCAATTCTGATATGAATAGAAATGCATATATACATGTATGCGCTCTTTTTAAAAAAAGTACGGAGCAAAATATTTGCGATTTAGATGAATGTTGGGGGAAAAAAATAGGTGTTTTCCGTCTAACTTGTATCAAATATCAGAATCTAGTTTATCCGTGTTGAAGCTAGAATCTAGTTTATACGTGTTGAAGCTCATATTAACATTTAAGATATTGTGGATGAAAATGGGCCCTCTATCAGGTATCTAATTTTACAGAGACAAGATATTGAATAATTAAATAAGTTCTCGAGATGATAAAGATTCTAACGATTGTGTAGCTTGACGGACTCAATATAACATAATAACTTAGTTATCGTTAGAACTACGGGACTGATATTCATCTAGAAGTAACCGCAAAGTAAGGGATATTAATTTTTATTAGAAAGACAAGTATGTTTAAATGATTTCAAGAATAATTTTTAAAAAAGGGATTTTTTTCAAAATAAATGATATGAAATATCATTTGTCTGGAGGACTGTCGTATCACGTTAATGTTACTTTTATATACGTATTTAAGTACACTTTACATTTATATATAATTAATACTACTTTTTTATATACAAAGAGTCTAATCAAAATACCATCCCAATTGAAAAGAAAAGACCAAAAAAAAAAACAATCTCGTATATCTTAATAAAACATAACAATAATGATGTTAATTCAAGATCATCTTCTCTATTTAAATTTGCATTCAATATTTATTTTCTACAATAATCCTACAATTGCCACATGTGTCTCTCCTCTGATAGACCAAAGTGTAAGCACGTGACTTATATTAAACCTTTCCTGAGTCAATCAACTGTTGCCATAATATTGACACAACCTAGGTTGTGCATTCGTTTTGCTTGTATGAATAATAGTATCATATTTGGTGGAACGTGCATGGGTAATATATATATATATATATATATATATATATATATATATATATATATATATATATATATATATATATATATATATATATATCTATATATATCTATATCTATCTATCTATCTATCTATCTATCTATCTATATATCTATATCTATATCTATATATATATATATATATATATATATATATATATATATATATATCTTTTTTCGGGGGGGGGGGGGTATCTATGATGTTGATGAGTTAATTAGAGAACTTGGCATTTCTGTTTTTTGCAAATTGCGAACTTCTCAAATCTATTCACATGTATCATCCAAAGGCCCTCAGACCAAAAATATGTTGTTTCTTAATTAAAGGATTTAGATCTAAGCAAACTCCTAGTGATGGTAAAAAGATGGTTTTTATGAATAAAATTCTATTCCCTGAAGAAAACAAATTAATATACGTAATGATTTTAAAAACCGGATCCGGCCATTATGAGTAAGCAATGTAACAGTGTCATTATCCTGTAGTTGACACAATTGAAACCTGTACAGGGGAGCTACTTTTTCCGGTTAGGAAATTTTGAAATATTCTAAAACTTTTCCAGACAGATTTGCTCAATGCATAATAGATAAAAGGCACTTTAATTTCACGGCTGACGAATTAGTGAGGGGGCTGTACGAATCTATTGGCATACTATTAGTCGATACAGACGGTCTCTCACCGTTTGTTACACTTTTCCGTTCATTTCAGCGATTGCAATCAGTTGTTAACTGAAACAACAGTCTGAATTATTAATATCGATAAGAGCGCCTTTTTCATTTTCAGGTAATTTAAATAGCTTCATTCTTATATGCGTAAAATATTTATGGAACAGGTACCTATGAATATATATTTGATTTATTTTGGATTTTGTCATAAAAGACTCTAATTACGCTTCGAAACGCGAAAACGTATAATTTCATGTGATTTTACTTTATACTGAAATTATTTCTTTTGTCTAGCACTACAGAATTTATCTCGCTTTTATGAGCACGGAAATGTTGAACTTGTTAACAAGCCTTTCAAAAATACAATATTTTTTTTTATTAACAAGTCTTTCAAACTGATAATAATTACATATCGAGCAATTGTTATATAGCCACAAATTAAAAATTAACGTCATCTCAATAATAAAAAAAGGGCAACCAGAATAATCTTTTTGCACCCGAGCAGGCTGTTTAGGAAAAATAATCCAACAGGATATCTTTGTGCAATTTTTGTATGAGAGATAGCTTCACCAATCATAATTGTAAGCTGTTACAAAGTGCTGGAAGTAAACTGGAAAGAGTTATTTAACGCTCATTTCTACTCCAAATGAAGAGATATCTCTAACTAATTAAACCTTTCCTAAACAGAGAAATTTCAATGCTTTACTGTTTGTTGTGAAATAATTGAACATAGTATGCGTAAAAGTAGGAGAAAGTTTATATCTATTGAATACCAGAGTGTAAAATCACAGAAAATATTCAATACACATTCTAGAGAGTTTGGAATTTTCGTTAAACTTTAATATTATTTTCTATGACCATAGGCAATTTATTTTAAAGAAAAACACTGACAAACAACAATAATTCAAAAACGGTAATAAGAAACAGAGAATTTATTGTGATTGCTAGTAACATTAAAAGTGTAATTTTCATTTGCATTTTCTGATGTGAACACCTTCAATGAAATAACCAAATCTCTACCCACATAGCCTATGTGGGATTTCCTTTGGGAACACACCTAATATCAACATTAAGTATTAATTTCACGCCAAGAATAATTTTGCCAAAACTGGAATTCGAAACAAGCCAAGAGAAAATAAGTCATTTTTTGATGTTTTATATCTAATTTTCTCAATATCCCCCACATTAAACACCAGCCTTTTATGATATATAGTTTTTTTTTTTCTGTTTGCCGGTTATGACATAAAAGAATCAAGGAAATTCAGTTTTATAGATACACTTTGTGCCAATATTGTTAGCCTTACATTAATATTTAGTATCGATGCTTTCGCAGAAGTGTTGGAGAGATTAGTTTCTTTCCAGTGATTTAATGTCATGCGCCGATATTTTATTTCATAGCTTTTCCCCTCTGCAAAAAAGAAAGTTCAACAATTATTGCCATAGTCTTACATATTCGTTGTGACGTCTGTAAATAATTGATGCTTAAGGAGTTTGAATAAGTCGGGATCGACATACACATAGTCAATGTCATTTGTACTTTTGCTGGCTTTCACCAATACCTTGCACTGCATTTACGATTTCTAGTGGAGAGGAAAGTTATATTTGATTCATTTTTTTCTTGATTGAGCATAGACATTTCGAAGTAGATTTAAAATAATTCCCTTTTTTATATCCCCTTCTATACATGTACTTAATAAATACATGTACAAGCCATTTTGATGGTTGGTATTTTTAGAAATGAAAATAGAAAGAGATTGATTGTATTAGTACATATACCAAGTTTGCCATGCATGTAACTTTAAAAAATTCATATTCCATACATTTAAATCCATTATGTTGATTACCACTAGATAGGTAAGAATAAAAAGAGAGGATGTGCCTGTAATGGCTATTTTATTCAAATGATTGGGCTTTTGAGATTTAGATTTAAAGCACGCTCACAAATAAAATTGCTACATTTTTACTCATTTCATACCATTTTTTTCCAGGTTGAAAATTCCAAACAAAATGTTAATAAATTAGCGGCATTACTGGCTGAAGAGCTGATGAATGAAGACAAAACTCCGATAGAGGGGAGAGAAAAGAGGGTGTTCTGTAACGGTTTCTTTGGATGCTCTAATGGTCGCAAGAGGTCCCAGTCAGGGTCGTTGGATATTGCTCCTTTAAATTACCCAATCGATGAACCGGAAGTACAGCCAAGCTTCCGGAAGAGACTCTTCTGTAATACGGGAGGCTGTTTTGGAAAACGCTCAGGTCGATATAGGAGGTTTCTTGAAAAACTTGGTAAAACTGGCAAACTGGAAGTAAGTTTTGGCATACATATTTCAGGTGATAAATAAGTAGTTATTGCAATGAAATATCTGAATAAAATATTAAGAGAATGTAAGGGACTATTTTTATTCACATCAATTTTCTTTGGAACTTTGAAGATTTCAATTAAAATCAAGGAAATGCATCAAAAATATATTGAAAAAATATTTCTGCGTTCTTGTACTCTTGAAATAACATGTACCAATAATTTCTCATTGTAGGACTAGTGATGAAAATAATTCATAGGAAAAGCTGTCCTAATTCGTCCACCATTCCTATTTTTAATACAGTATGATGCTATTGAAGTCTCGCCCAAATTGATATTTAGAGTGACTTCTGAAACAACTTGATAATTCCAGAATTTGCGAATTCAGTTTTTTAACGCAAATAAAATGTGTGAGTTTTCTTCTTTTTAGATGTGAAACTGTTCAACGTTTTATGTCATAAAAAAGACTAGATATAGCTTATTTCTTCCTTTCATTTGTCATTATAAATTCAATTATATTTTATTGCAGATATAAAAATAGATGTTATACCATGAATTCAAATTCATTTCCCCGTTCTCTTATTCATATCATATAGGAGTGTATATGTTTGTTATTTTATTTTTCATACTTTTATTTATATACTGAAATTTGTTTGCTTCAAATAAAACTATTTTAACTTAAAGAAATCTTTTTGTGATTTTAATGTGTTTTTTTTGAGAACCACAGATACTTGTCGAGAAATTTCATTCTCAAAATTAGTACATATTCTACTTGTTAAGCGCTTGGGAAGTCAAAGTTCAATTCTCGTTCATCATTAGACGTATGAAATAGGCAGTGGCTGTTCCTTTGCTGCTATTTAAAGTGAAACAGATCTTTCGAATTCGGATGAGACCTTAAAACCGAGGTCCCGTGTCATAATGGAGAACCCTCGCTGCTAAAACCAATTTTCATACAATAGTGTTATTCAAAACAAACCGATTTCGATGATTCGTCTGTACAAATAAAAGTATTTGAGCTCGAATACTGTTCGTTAACTCCACAAATTTCACGTAAAATGAATCGCATACACCAATTATCCCCTTGTGAGTACTACACAACAGTAAACCTCGGTTATAGCGAAGTTCTGGGGACCTGTGAATTTACTTCACTATATTCGTAATGCGTTGTATCCGTATAACGAATTCCTTAAAGTATACATAACGAATCCGCAATTTAGATTTTTTCATTCGAGTATGACTACCGAATTTATTTAAGGAAGTACAGGTGTATAAAATACAAAATTTACCTTGGAGTTACACGGGTTTTGGAGGAGTTGTGTTTCAAATATAAATACATCTACTAACAAAATTAATGTCAGTTCAATATTTCAAAAATTTAATTTTTTGAAAAATCGCTATAAAAAAATAACTTTAGTTATTTTTAACTTCTAGGGGGCACAGAATTAGTTCGCTATAACCGTATATTCGCTATGAAAATTGTTAAGAATTTCGCTGGGGATTGCTAAAAACTTCGCTAGCGCTGTATCCGGAAATTCGCTATATCCGTGTTCGTTCTAAACAAGTTTTACTGTACCAGACAGCATGTCGATGGTTATCTGAACATATATTGAGCAACTACATGACGTAAAGATCACATGATCTGATCACAAGATTTTATACAGTCGAATGAATATAACAAAACACTATCTTGAGGTATTAAAAAATATCAATACAATAGTCAGTACATGTATATCATAGGGACTTGAGACAATCTTAGCAAAATCGGGTATATAGTATAATAGGGGAGAAGGGACCTAACGAGCCGCCATTAATTCCTCGGTGCCTCGCTTCAAACTCTAAAACTTCGATTTTTATTCAAAAAAGTCATGAAAAAGTTTTGCCAGTCGAAAGGCTGAATGTTGTCCTTTATTGTCATAAATTGATCATTTACCTTTTTAAAAAAAAATAAAAAAAAATATTCGTCGTAAACGCTTCTACATTTTTTCCATGCAATTTTCGTGCATTACCTTAATTTTTCCACACTTGTCATCCTTTGCACTCTATATTAGAACAATTCATAAAAGTATAACTGCTTTTGGTCATCCTCACATATATGTGAGGGACCGTTGATCGTCCGTCTCGAGAGATCAGCTCCATTTTCACCTTCGATTAGCCTCAGAGTTCAATTCAGATTTAGTTACCCATTAACTTTTTGACATTCTTTCCCTCTCTTTCTCTCTCTCAAGCTTAAGAGAGATGTTACATTGTAATTCCATTATATAAGAAAAAAAAATATGAATAAATATAAACCAGCCATTCCAGGATTCGAACCCATTCTCAGGTAAAAATAACCTCTGCTTAGAGTCCACACGCTTTATCACTAGACCAGCCCCGATGTGCTATTTTATGAGCACATTTGCATTTCGGATGGATAATAATTTTTATTCGATTTTTGTGATTTTCAAAAATATGCCTCTTTGAAACAAAAATCGGAAATGGCAGTTTTGAAGAAAAATCCTGTCTCTTTATACGTATATCAAATTCATTCTGTTTCAAGGAGGCAGTTTTTCAGAACAATGGGGATTGCCTATTTGAAGAAAAAACCCAGAAAACTTGACTTATTTTGCTATGTGACTAATTTACACTTCATTTAATGGCAAATTGGAAGTCAATATGCAGTTTCTAAATATTGTTCTACATTGTGCTGTTTATACCGTTGTATCTGAAAAAATTTAAGATCGTTTTCTGTTACTTATAAGTAAAATTTTTCTTTTAAATTGCTACAACTTTAGGGAAAATAACAAAAGAACTGCAACACCCTGTTTGTTCGAATCATCTTTCTCCCCTTAAGGGTAGGTTGATACCACTTATAAAATACTGAACGCCTAGCCAAATGATCAGGTGAGCGATGTGGCCCATGCATGGGCCTCTTGTTATGTTTTCTCAAAACAGTGCTCGGGATGAAACGAGAAAAGCTCAGTTTAATTCTCATTGGTAATCGAGAACAGTATGCTTTTTAGGTGTGTTCCCGTTTTGCACACATTTGATAATTAGGAATAGAACAATAGGTGTGAATTATGTTTTGATAGCAATTATAGTCTGTTATCCGTCTGGAATTACCTGTAATTTCCCAATGCATTATAACATATATTTAAGAGAATAAATTTGGAAAATTTAACTTGTCCAACCCAATTGAAGATGAAGTTGATAACTTAGACAGATATCCTTACATGTACATGTGTATCGCAGTTCAACCTTTTTTTTTTATTATTTTTATTTCATAAAGATAAAATGAATGAGTAAATGAATTCAATCTTGATTAATAAACACAGAGAGAGAGAGAGAGAGAGAGAGAGAGAGAGAGAGAGAGAGAGAGAGATCATATGAATATAATTATAGCTTTAACTAATAACTCTTGATATTTTGATATTTTTAATGTTTTAACATAGTTTTTTTTCTTATTATGAAATAATAAAAATAAATCAAAATATGCAAATGCAAAATTTAATCATTTTTTCTTCCTATTGTTTCCGTAAATTCTCTTTCTCCTAATTCACAACTACATGCATATGTATGATATAGGCTATAGCAATTAAGTAATTATCTTACCTGGACAAATTCCCGTTTTGCACACATTTTTTCAATACTTGAAATTCAAATGTGTGCTAAACGGGAACAAACCGCTTTTTAACAGAAAAAGACATTAAACGCACGCGATAAATATGACGTAATTTCAGCCTAATTTCTCCTCATTGACAAGTCAAGAAATGCGTCATTGTCCAGTAATCTGAGCTTTATTTCAACATTTCGAATAGAGCATAGCCTTTGATCCAACCTTAATATGTCATAAACTGATAGACCTCCCCATGTTTGTTTTGTATTTGATTGTGTTTCTGGCTGAATTAACACGGAACACTTGTTACGTTTTAATTTCTGCATAATCCAACAAGTTTACCATTTTTAAACCCCAAGCATTCCTCCTAAATGTAAAAATTTTAGGTAACAAGCATTCTGAGAGTATTGCATTTGCAATACTAGTCCCCTACCGGCAAGTGTAATCTGGTTCCCGTTAAAAATTGAAAATGTCATAAATCCGTCAAAAATCAATGAAGCGGAACGAAATGCAAACTTGATCTATAACTTATCAAGGTAAAGTCACATACCAAAAATCAGCTCAATATCTGCATGTGTTAGGAAAAAAAATTGTGGAAAACCCTGAAAAATTGAAAAGGTCGTAATTCCGTCAAAAATCACTGAAGCGGAAAGAAATGCAAACTTGATCTGTAACTAATCAAGATACACTCATACCAAAAATCAGCTCAATATCTGCAAGCGTTTAGAAAAAAAGTACGGAAAACCAAGTGGGACAGACGGACAGAGGGACAGACAGACAGCTAGACAGACGGACAGACGCTCTAACCACTGCGCCACGCTGGCGACTTTTCACTTTGAGGAACACCATAGAAACTTTTTTATCTTTAATGTCGTCAAATAACTTAATTTTTTTCAATGTTTTTGACCCTATCGTTCTTAAAAACGCGAAATCAACGTTGGAAGGGCAATGAATTAAGCATCGGATAAAGGATGACCTCACTTAATGCCGGGTTTTGGGTCTTTTTCGGTCGCTTCTGTTGCTTTTATATCATAATCTTATTTCATTTTTATATATTTATGAAAGAATCCTGTCAATTTCGAACCGAATCTAAATATTAAAATGATCTTAGACTGTGATACAATAAAATGATTCTATGTTTTCTGCCCTTACTCTTTCCAAATATAGAGCATTTACACTTACCTGCCCTTGATTAAACATTAGGTATGCATGAGAGGTGGAGCTAATATTGTAAGAATGGGTCTAAAATTAGACTACATAAATAACAATGAAATGTATTTAAAAAATACGAGATCACTCTTTCCCATTCCCTCTTTATTCTGTATGGCACAAATACACTATTTTCAGAGGTTTCAAAAACGAAATTAACAATATGAGCGACGTCAATGTAAGTAAAGAATCTTTTAAATCAATGCCTAACAATTTAACGTGTTCGAGCACTTTGTCCTAGTTAGCACAAAACATGCTACTTTACAAGTCACGTGACGGAATTTAGTATTCACAGAGTTACCTGAGGTAAGAAATCACGTGGTGAATTATAATATTCAACATGTCACAGCACTTGGTTACAATAGAGAGAGCGAATGTAAGAAGAAGCAAAGCAGTTTTTTCTCGTTTAAACCATGAGCGCATGTTTGTCTATTAATCTCCTTTTGACACAACATTGTTAATGCAAATATATAACTACTGTAAAACGGAGAACAATAGACAAACATGCGCTGACTATGTATAAAGTCAGTGAAAAAGTGGGCGTCCTCATTATCGGACGGAGATTCAAGGAATTATAATGACCCCCGACTTAGAAAACAGCTTCGTACTTCGTAAATACGTACTTTTATTTAATGTAATTACATAAAGTTGTAGATTAGATGTTGACCATTCGTGCAATTTAAAGAAAAATGCTTGTTTTGAAAGTTTATTTTGCCGCAATTTTCGCATGTCCTTAAGTGCAGTCATCCTTTATGTTATGGAATTGAATTGTAAGTCCATCTGGTGTTGATTAAGAAAGTACGAAGTGTTTTAAGTGCATTTTTTTCCCTCCGAGGCCA